GAGTAAGAAGAATGAATTAAATTTAATGGGGGCCAAATAGAGGCATAATAAACATTGGAAATGTATTCATGTTCTCCATTCTTCGTTTGGATGAGAATTTTATCAATATGCTTGACTTGCACTTTCAAATCATCTCCTATAAATTTTGGCCATTTAGTTCTTCAAGTTCTACGAAGATAATTTCCTTCATTATTGAATGAATGTTAGTATTAGGTTTTGATACCCCATAAATCTCGGGCTATGATGTTAAATCGGTTTTTTGAGTTGGATTATACTTCATAGACCTCGGCCAATGAGTGAAGTGAAATGTCGACAACACAATCGAACCAATCGAATCATGTAACCCACTTGGGCCATTTGAAGTAGCCTAATTATATTAGTGCTGCTCATGGTCCAACCCGAATGATTTGGATGGCTTTAAGGTATTAGCCCACTTACCCCTTTCCTATTGGGCCTATCATTTTGACCTAAAAGCCTAAACCTAAACCTATTCCTAACTTATTTATTTGGTTGATCGTTATTATTATTGGGTGTGTGAAAGTGTGGGAGTAGCCTTGTGTTTTAGAAGAGAGAACAGTATTCAGTTTTGGCCATTTGCTTTGTGCTTTTGGTTTTTGCCTTCTCTTTGACAATTTCTTCTTCTTCTTCTTCTTCTTCTTCTTCTTCTGTGGATTAACAGACTTGAGCTTCAATTCCTTTCCACCATCAACTCTTTGTGGGCTATAATCTGGAAACAACCATAGTCTTTGGGAAGGTGCCGATTTTGGAGATTGATTGGTTGATTGTGGTGTTTGATTCTTGATTAACTGAGCCTGGATCTTGAAGCAATTGAAGGAAATAACTAACATATGGTATCAGAGCTTTAGGTGGTGATTTTTCTGGCAAAAAAACTGTCCAAAAACGTAGCAGAAATCCGGCTGGAAAGGAAGCAGAAAATCTGTCCTGTATTTTCACAAAAATCGGACCTTCAAACTCGATTTTCGGCCAAACCAGAAAGAATTTGGAGAAACGGTGACCACTGTTGGAACGTGCAGGTCGAGGAGGTTCAGGGTCACCTGCGTGTAGGAGTGATGGCCGGCGGTGGCGGCGGCGCGCGGCAGCTCCGACGAGGCGAGTGTGGCCGATTCCGGGAACGACTTCTTCAGGCAGTTTATTATACACTTTCTAGCCTCTACAATCTGACCACGTTTGGCAAAACCATGCACTGTTATATCATAAGTCCATCTTTTTGGCTCATACCCTTTTTTATGTAATCTATCAAGGTACTGGCAAGCATAGTCCATTTCCTTCATGCTTAATCTTCTCAGAAGCATATTGTAAGTGTAGGTGTCTAGAGGGAAGGATTGCTGAATCTATTCTTCCACATCCTCCATATCTTGGTTTACTTCAATACAGCCAGAAAAAACACCAACCAGCTGGCCCAATTTCCAACTGACTGGTGTTAGGTTTTGCTCATGACTTAAAAAAGCCACGCATCATATAGTTTTCGAGTTCTCAAAGAATTCAACAGAAGTACATTGTCGATAAAGGAAGAAATAGGACGCCCGATTTGAGTCATATCATTGATAAGTTCTATAACCTTATAGTATTATCTATGATCACAATACAACTTCACTAGTTCCTCATAAGATTCCAGACTTGGTAACTTGTTTGCTTTCATATTCTCAAATATGTGCAATGCATTCTCTGGTTTGTTAACTTTGCAAAGACCAACAATCATGGTCTGCCACAGTTTTCTACGGTCTCTCCTCTTGTATGCTTCATGGAAGAAATTTAAAGCATCAGCAATTTTTTCGCTTTTCAAGTAGCTTCGCAACATTAGTATGTAAGACTTCAAGTCCGATAAGAGACCACTTCTTCTCATCATTTCCTATACTTGCCTAGCCAGCTCAGGCTTTCGGCATGCCCAGCACCATCAATGAAGAAATTGTAAATAGGTGAACTGGGCTGAAGCCGAGCCAGCTGCATCTCTAGCAATCTGAAAACTTGCTTCTCTACATCATCCGTTTGACATAAACAGCAAAACACGTCTCTATACAATTTCCTTTTAGGGTGATAACCTTTTTTCTTGCATTTCTATGGGTAATCTAGCAGCAATATCCCCTCTACTCAACTTGTTAAAACCATTGATCAGGTGAACATATGTACTCCTAGAAGCAACTTTATTCAATCGGTTAATCTGGCCATGAACCAAGTAACATCTTCAACTCTCTTGGCCCTACAGAGAGCTGATATGAACTTATAATAAGTCAAGTCATTGGGCATGATATTCCAGTCTAATGCAACAAGAACCAACTCTTTCATCTTATCAAGCTTTCCTTCTCAGCAAAGAGCATCAGAAATAATGGAGAAGGTCCTTTTTCCAGGGAAATAACCATGTACTATTGAATTTCTCAACACACGATATGCTTCAACAACAGTCCCATCACCCACTA